TGTAAGTGACAAAAGCATACATTTCACAGAGCTGTTATTGGGTTTTAAAGAGTTAATATATGTAAAGTATTAGTACAAAGCCTGGCCCATAGAAATAGGGTCAATAAATGTAAGTAATAATCATTATTATTACTATCACCACCATCATTATATGTAAGTGACAAAAGCATACATTTCACAGAGCTGTTATTGGGTTTTAAAGAGTTAATATATATAAAGTATTAGTACAAAGCCTGGCCCATAGAAATAGGGTCAATAAATGTAAGTAATAATCATTATTATTACTATCACCACCATCATTATCAGCTCTAGTTTTGCTACACAGACCTCTGCTTTTCCTTACATGAGAAGCGGAAACTATTTATCTTTTTACTACACACCAGGCACAAAGCTCAGCCCTTTCAACAGGCAGTTATTTATTTAACCCTCATAATAATCCTTCAGGTTATTGTTAGGTGTTGTTATTCCCAATGTTACTGATGAGGAAACTGAGGCATGAACATTCATTCAGCCAGTTCTTGGCATTTGCTATGGGTCAGCTATGTCCCCCAAAAGTTCATGTGTTGAAAACTTGATCCCTATTGCAACAGTGTTAAGAAGGTGGAAAACCTGATTATGATATTTGAAAGGTAGAGCCTTTTAGAGGTAATTGGATCATGAGGACTGCACCCCAGTGAATGGATTAATCCATTCATGGAATAAGGGGTTGATGGTTTAATGGGCTGTCATGGCATGGACCAGAGGCTTTATAAAGAGAGCGCATAAAAGAGCTCTTGCCATTCTCACCACTGTAGAGAGTTTCCACCCAGATAAAGGCTTTCACCAGATGCACCCCCCTGGACCGTGGACCTCCCAGCCTCCAAAACGGTAAGAAATAAATTTTGTTTCTTCATAAACAACCCAGTTTCAGGTATTCTGTTACAAGTGACAGAAAATGAACTCACACAGCATTAGAACACAATGCTTGTGTGTGGGAACAGGTCACTTGGCAGAGAGTGGACCTCTCTAGAATTCACATTTCAGTCAACTTGTTTTTAATTTGCCATTGTGTACACATGAAAGCAAACACTGTGCATGCATATAGGAAACAGAACATCAAGTACCACTTATTGAATGGTTATATGCTATTTCCCTCTACCTAGCCAAATCTTTCCATTCTTTTAAGGTGTCCTAGTATACAGTCTTCTCTGACCACTAAAATAGACACCGAGCTTTCTCTTCTCGTAACTCTTAACACTTACTGTCTATAAGACAATTTTGTAATGGATCACATGTGATTTTGTATAATTATTTATTAATTTTTTATGATTCAATACCCTTACAAGAAGTCCCATGAAGGCTCATATTTTGACCTTAAATTTTTCATGTTCCCTATAGTACCTAGCATAGTGCTGGGCATAATGTTGTTTTACAATATTTGTAGAACTGTTTACTTATCAAAACCCTACCATGGCATGGCAAAATAAATAAATATACCTACAGTGTAGCAGGCACTATGGTAGGTCTTGGAGCAGTATTAGAAAACAAGATACTGCAGTCCCAGGACTCAAGAGCTCACAGTTGATTGGAGAAAACTACAGGTAATCAGATCATTACAATTCAGTAAGGTAAGTGCTATGACAGATATTTGAACCAAGTGCTAAGAGAATACTGAAGAGGGAAGGATTAACTACTCTAAAGGACCCAGAAATCATTTATACATTCATGTATTTAACAAATATTTATTGACAACTTAATATGTGCCTGGCACTGTGCTAGGTCCAAGGACACAGAGGTAAATAAAATAATCAAGGTCTCTGTCTTCATGGAATCTATAATCCAGGATTCACAGGTAGTGGTTCTTGAGTGGGTTGACAAATGAGTAGGAATTCACTCTGTAAAAAGAAAGAGAATGGCTTTCCAGGAAAAGGAACCAGCATCAAGTCAAAGAAAGCCCTGGAAATTGAAAGAGAATAGCTTATATAAAGAACAAGAAAAGTGGCTAGAATGCATTCATGTAAATGGGGAACCACAAGGGATGAGACAATAAGGCACATTGGAGAAGAATAGGAAAGGTCTCATACGCTATGGCAAGGCTTTTAGAGTTTTAGTTCATTTAGTCCTTTAGCAAAAAGTATTGTGGCCTACCACATGCCGAGTCCTGTGCCAGGTACTGAGGACACAAAATCAATAAGACATAGTCTTTCAAGAAGCTCAGGGAGTAGCAGGTCACAGGCATGTAAAGAATCAATTATACTATAAACAAGTGCAATGATACGGGCATGTTTAAATTAGGGATGGGATGGCTCAAAGAAGGGAGTGATTAGATTAACTCTATCTGGGGGAGAGAAGGGTGTTCAGGAAAGGACTCATATTAGAGTAGACTTTTGAACTAGGTCATAGGGGACGGATAGGATTTCATAAAGTAATGATAACAACAATAATAGCAAACAGTTGATAGTATGTGTCAGGCTCCATTCTAAACATATTACATATATTGACTCAAACGTCATAATATCTTATAAAATAGGTATTATTATTAATCCCCATTTTATAGACAAGTTCAGACACAAGGTCAAAAAGGTAGTAAGTGGCAGAGCTGGGATTTTAACACAGGCAGTTTGGCTCCAGAGCATGTGTTCTTAATTACTACACTATATTGCCTTCAAGACAAGAGGGTGAGGGCATTACAAGCAAAAAAGAAAGAACATGCAAAGGTATAGAGGTATGAAAGAGCACAACATCTTTGGGGAATTCTGGCTGACTGACATTGGATGGAGTGTAGCAGGGGATGAGGCGGGTGGGTGTCAGGTCATGGTAGGCTTTGGGTACCGTGTAAAAAAATGTGGTCTTTATCAGTAGGTAATGAGAAATTACTGAAGGATTAGGCAAGGAGGTGACCTGAGTAGATTTTCTTTTGCTTTAGACATATTTCTCTGGCATAAGTGTGGGGAGAATAATGGGGGACGTCAAGGGCAGGGAGACAAATCAACAGACCACAGCACTGCTCTAGGTGAGAAATACAGGAATATTTCAGAGATATTGTGGGTTTGGTTTCAGACCACCACAATAAAGCAAATATCACAATAAAGTGAGCCACATGAATTGTTTGGTTTCCCAGTACATATAATATGCTATATTATATCTTAATATGCTATATTATATCTTTATACTATACTGTAGTCTATTAAGTGTGCAATAGCATTATGTCTAAAAAAAAGTGTGCATACCTTAATTAAAAAATACTTTATTGGGGGGCCGGCCCGGTGGCGCACTGCTACAGTGCGCCGCTTGGGAAGCGCGGCGGCGCTCCCACCGAGGGTTCGGATCCCATGTGGAGACCGGTTCCCACTCACTGGCTGAGCGCGGTGCGGGCACAACACCGAGGGTTGCGATCCCGTTGCCGGTCCCCGGTACGGGCACAACACCAAGGGTTGCGATCCCGCTACCGGTCAGTAAAAAAGACAAAAAGGAAAAAAAAAAAAAAAAGGAAAAAAAAAAAAAAAAGAAGATGTAGCTAAGATAATTAATGAATGCAGCTACACTAAACAACAGATT